AGATAGATAGATAGATAGATAGATAGATAGATAGATAGATAGATAGATAGATAGATAGATAGATAGATAGATAGATAGATAGATAGATAGATAGATAGATAGATAACCTTTATTGTCATTTTTTACTGTGGGCACAATGGCACACATTAAAAATGAAATGTAGTTGCTTGCTCTTAAAGGGAACACACAACACACATTTAAACATACTATACACAACATATGCATAGACCTACACCCTTACATATAAGTAACATATAAATATTAATCACTGTCCATCTTGAATACATAATGGAAGGAGGAAGCTTTAGAGTTCACAAGGTTAATACTGTATGGAACAAAACTGACTGAATCTGGATGTTCTGCTTCGGATACCACGGAGTCTCCTCCCAGAAGGTAACAAGGAAAACAGGTCGTGAAGAGGATGTGTAGTGTCCCAGACGATCTCACGGAGCCTGCTCAAGCAACGCTTGTGTGCCATGTCCTGGATGGGAGGGAGGCAGGGAACTGCTAATGATCTTTTCTGCCATCCTCACCACTCTCTGCACCGCCTTCCTGTCTAAAGCAGTGAGGCTTCTAAACCAGACTGTGATGCTGTACGACAGGAAGACTTTGTTCTCGGCTTCCGTTTAATCCTTAAACCCTCCTCTCCCCTCCTGAATCCCATTGGCCTCTCTTTTAGATGAGCCTGTCTGACAGCGGTGTGGACCTTAGTAGTGACTCACAGGTCTCCTCGGCCACCTGCAGCCAACGCAGCTCTCCGGATGGGGGCCTGAAAGCCACACCGGATGCCGCCACCAAGCAGGGTGGAGCCATTGGCAAAAGTAAGGATGACACCTTGGCCACCGATCCAGAAGGAACGGACGCAAAGGAACAAAGGAGGAGGCCACCACCGACCAGAGACTCCAGTTTGCTCAAGGACAAGAAGGTACAACGTTTATTCTTGGGTAGCTGCAAATCTTTGACACTTGACCCTTCATTCTGCCTCTGCCATAATAAGAGTGACCTTGATGGCTTCTGACAAGAGTTATATTTGTAAACATTCTGCCATCTAGGTCTTAATTTGTGTTGTTCTTCTGACACAAATCAGTTAAGCTGTGCTTATTGGACATGGAAGACACCCTGCCTCTATTTTTACTCTGTTCTAGTTAATCCCAGTTAGGCTCAATCTTTAGAGTCAGATGTTCTACCTTTTGCTGCTTCAGGTACTGTGATAAGATAAGTTGGCCTTGCAAGTACCTAGATCCCAAGCTACAGAAGGTCAAAGGCGGCACTTTGAATGGTAGCCAGAAACCTCTTTTGATAAACAATACAGGGCCTGGGGCAAAAGTACAATCAGGCTGCTGCGTTTTTCAGCAATTATGTTATCGGGGTGGCTTCATTGCAGTAGTCTAGTCCAGGGCTTTTCAACCAGTGGTACGGGTACCACCTGTGGTACATTGGCACCTGGCAGGTGGTACGCGACCATCCTAGAAAAGTAGCGGGGGAGGGGAATGAGCTGAACCGGTGGGAACACCGCACAAGCCTGAGCGAGAGATGGCTGGAGCTGCAGGGCTGTCAGGGCTCAGCGGAAGAGCCAGAATCAGCACTTCTTCGAGGCTGTCGGGGCTCAGTGGAAGCGCCAGGATCAGCACCAGGGTCCAGCTGGAGCTCGGCGCTGATCCTGGTGCTTCTGCTGAGCCCAGAAGAAGCGCCGATCAGCTGGAATGTTGCAGCATCTCCAGGGTCTTGTGATTTACATTCAGATGCTTGGCAACTGATTCATATTTATGACGGTCACAGTGTCCCAGGGTCATGTGAAGTGACCAAAACCTGCTGCAACCACCCAGCAGACGNGAATAAAAACCAAACACTCCCACCCCACCCCCGCTGCCAATCCTCAACAGAAATGCTCACAACAATGAAAACCTCGGACAGGAGGAAGAGCGCCACTGGGTGGGCAGGCAGGTGTCTTGCTCGGTTGTGGCTTGGGGGGCACTTTTTTCAGTGCCATTGTAACTTCGAACAGCCACTAAGCGAACTGTTGTAAGTTGAGGACTACCTGTACTTTATCACTTTTTTCCCTTTTTTTTTTTTTGGTCATCAAGTTTTTGACACCTTGCTAGGCGACTGGTGGTACTCGGATGTTGCCATATCCTAAAAGTGGTACAATGGGTGAAAAGGTTGAAAAGCCCTGATCTAGTCAAGTAATAAAGAGATAGTTCATTGCTAGGAGGCCCTTGCAGTCCAGCTAAATAGGACCTTTAAATATGTTGCATCGGCCCCATGCATCCCTCCACATTCCTCCTTAGGAACTTTTTTTTCTAATTTTGCAAATTGCTGGACATCACCTCGCACCTCTCTGTGCTTGTCTTTGCATCCTAAAGTGTAGAAATATCTCTCTAAATAAAATTAAGTGACGTGACGCTTGGCCTGTAATGGTGGAGGCAAAGCTGTTGCTTTTACACAATATTTGCAGCCCTGAAGTAAGACGTCGTCAGATTTACTTGCAGTAAGCGTTTCCAAGGGTTTAGCGCGTTACATCTGACTCCTCCGAAGCCTGCCATCTCTCCCCTTTCAACATTCTCCCTTTTGGGGGGGCTTCCAGAAAGACGATCTTACGAAGCTGGGTCTTGCCAGAGACACCGGTGTGCAAAACTTCTCTGAGCATCAGAAATTTCATGGGATAATTCTGCACTTGATCTGGTTGAAGCCAGTTTGCGTCTCCGTCATTTTTCCAGGGGAGGTGGAAGGAGTGGAGATCGGGGCACCTTCATCTGAACTTGTGAGGGGTAGCTGGGTGTCTCTCGGGTAACTTGTGAGTACAGGTGGTCCTCGACTTGCAACAGCTCATTTAGTGACCGTTTGCGGGGGGGTGTCACGTGATCCCCTTTGGCGACCACCTGACTAAGCAAAGTCAAATTCACTTAACCAATCGTGTTACTAACTTAACCATAGCGATTCACTGAAGAACCGTGGCAAGGCAGGTCATAAAAACGGGCAAAATTCACAAGTGTCTCTTAGCGACAGAAATTTGGGGCTCAATCCACGGTCCTAAATCGAGGACTACCTGTACTGTGGAGCCTTTGTCCAAATTGCAAGCGGATCGCCCCCCATTCAGCGAAGAGGCGATGTTTTCGCGCTGCCTAGCGAGCTCTGTGGCCGCTTGAAAACGTCACCTCTTCACCGAATGAGGGGCTGGCTTCCAGTTTTGCCTGCCTGCTGAGGTTAGAAAGGTCTGCCTCACGACTTTGCCCACTGCGACAGGTGAGCGGCTCCCCCGATCCCCTGCCCCGGGACCACCCTCCCCCTGGCGCGATCGGCACTGAGCGCTCCCAGCGGGCAGAGAAGGCCAAGGAGAGCACAGAGGGCCTGGGCGTTCTGAAGCCTGAACAGAGCCCCCAACTGGAGCCCCCAGGAGCCTGCCCGCCCATCCAGTTTGGTGCCAGCGATAAGGTAGGTGTGAAAATGGGGGGGCGCCCCGGGTTACCTGCATCCCAGATTGGCCATAGGCCAGAGGTCCCCAAACCTTTTGGGCAGCAAGGACCGGTTCCGTCGAGAGAGGGGGGTTTCCGCGGACCGGAGGGGGCGTGGTTTCACACGCAGATGGGGCTTCACTTGTTTGCGCGGACCGGTTTCTGTCATGCTGCGGACCGGTGCCGGTCCACAGACCCAGGGGTTAGGGATCCCCTGCCATAGGCTATTGTTTGAAAAAGTCCTTTGCTCAGACCTCAGCTGGGGACTTTGGCCTTTCAGGACGCCGACCTTCGCTTCATTGTGAACGAAGTCCCGAAAGCAGGTGAAGAGCTGCACCAGGCACTCGCCGAAGGGGTAAGTGGGGGGGTCAGCAGCGTATGCTGCAGTCGGGGATAAAGAGGAGCTCCACCGGATTTTTCAAGCAGCAGCGTGCGTTCCCTGATTACATAGAGCTTGAATTCGATTGTTAAAGGTTTGCGTAGACCAGACATGTCAAACACAAGGCCCGGGGGCCGGATGCGGCCCACGAAGTGGTTTCATGTGGCCCGCGAAGCCATCCTGGAAACAGTGAGCGAACGGCCCCCGCTGCCTTGGCCCTGGCCCAAACCGGCCGGGAGCCAATGTACAATTTTGTGGTGGCCATCTATGCTGCAACGCATTCAGTCTTCGCTCCACAAGGCCATCTGGAAATGGCTTGGTGCCGCAGGTGCTCGGGGGCTAGGCTGGGCGTTTAACCTCTGCTGCCCTGGGCTCCGGGCAGCCCGCGCCACCATCCAGCCCCCCCACGCATGGCCTGAGAGGAACAGTGAGGGTCCTCCAGTGGACCATGCCTTGGCACTTGCCCTGGTCCCACCCCCTTCTGCCAGAGACCCTCAGATCTGTCCCACTCCTTCCCTGGCCCCCACAGGCACCCTTGACGTGAATGATGTAGAGCTGGCCATGCCCACTCAGTAGGCCACACCCACTCCATCCACCCCCACCCAGTAGGCCATACTCACCCTGGCCACACACACCACCGAAGGCAACCGCAATGCTGATGCGACCCTCAATGAAATTGAGTTTGACACCCCTGTTGTAGACGTAGCAATGGAATAAAAACGGGTGCAGTTGGGTTTGGATCAGAGGGAGCTGGAGAACCCGGCGATGACTCGCCCTGCCTCCCAACAGCTTCCCTGTCTGCTCTCTCCACAGCTGGCCTCTGCTCCCCGAGAGTGGGAGCTGCTTCCCCCGGCCCCTCCCATCCACAGGGCATCCCCCGAGATGCCTCCCAGTCGTTCCTTTGAGCCTCGCTCTTTCCCGGGAGCTCCAGCTGCTGCCGCCTCGTCCTGTTTGCATAGCTTCCCAACAGACGCTCCCATGTTCTCAGGTAGGGGGAGCGATCAATTTGGGGAGGGGAGGGAAGGGGAGGGACTCTTCGGGGCTTGAATGCAGATTGGCGCCTGATGGTGTTTCTCTCCGCAGGTGAGAGGGGCCAGGGGCCACGCCTGTACCCGGAGCTGTTTTATGGGAACCAGGTAGCTATCTTGGCAGATAGGAGGGAGAATGCTTTCCTGGAACAGAAGTGGGGAGGGCGCACTGGGCGCAGACCAGTTAAAAGAATCACCCGTGCTGCTGGGGATGGGGGGGATCTGTGCTGGCATCCGGTATCCTTGTCCTCTGACGGCGTTTTATCCCATCCTCTGGCTACAGCTCTCCAACGCCCAGCTCGAGTCCCAGCTGCACAGCGCAAGCGGCGGCAGCAACTTCCGTCCAAGCACCCCGTCTCTGCACTCGTACAGGTACAGGCCGGCGGGAGAGTGGAGGATAGGTGGGCCCGGGGTGGGGGATGGAGCAGGGATCCCTCCTGGTTGAGGACCCGGAGGGTCAGGTCACTAATACGTGCCGACTGAGCCAGAATTCTCGCTCCCTAGGTCCCAGCACCTGTACCTCCAGCCCAGCCCAGCCCCTACTTCTCCAGCTCAGACCGCAGCAGGTGCAGTGCTTCCGAGCTCAGCCTTGCTCTCAGGAGTGGCCTTGAAGGGGCAGTATGTGGAAATAGCAGCTCTGCAGGCGGCCGACCTGCCCAAACTCCCGGCTACGGGCTTGCTGTACCAGGCACCGCCTCCCTCCTTTATCTACAGCTCAGCCTTCTGTGGAAGCCAGTTGGCTCCTGAACAGGCCTTGCTTCAGGTACTGGGGAAGTAATGCAAGACAACGAGCTACAGGCCGTCCTCAACTTAAGGACCACAATAGGGATTTGGGGGGGGGGGGAAATTGGTTGTGAAGTGAGGCGTCGTGTGACCGCACCCAATTTTATGATGTTTTTGCTGGGGTTGTTAAGCAAGACCTCACAGGACCAGGATTCCAGTCTCTTCCCTGCCAGCTTCTTGTTGGAAGCTGGCTGGGAAGGTTGCAAACGGCGATCACGTGACTGGAGAACCTAAATGCAGTGACGGTTGCCGAGCGCTCGAATTACACACGTGTGTGCTGTGCTCATAACTGCAAGGATTGGATGTAAGTCACCTACCACTATCCTAACTTCAAGCTAAGCTTTCTGGAATTAAAACTGAACAAATGGTTGTAAGTTGAGGACCACCAGTAACGATAGAGCGGGCAGGAAACTGGGAAGAGCCGGTGAAGTTACTGAAGAAAGAGAGTTTACAGTGAGCTAGAATTCCAAACAGGAGACAGATTGGGACAGAGTAGCACTCATGAAACCAAGCAGACTTTTGAGCCACAGGTGAGTTTTGGCCAGCGCTTTTTTCAGTGATGATGTGCTCCTCAAATAACAGCGTCTACAAATGTAGCTTGCCCATTTCTCTTGATCTGAACTTGGTTTTATTTATACGTTTAGTCCCAACGGTCCCCAACCTTTGTGGGTTGGCGGCCAGGGGAGAGAGGGGAACCGGGCTGCGCGAGTGGGGGGGGCAGCGCACATGTGCATGCACACGGAGCTCGACTCACATGAATCAAGGTGTGCGTGCGCACACATGTGCACTGGCCCGCTGTTCAGGCAGTCCAGTTGTAAATAATAGTGGGCCATGGCCCTGGGGTTGAGGACCCCTGATTTAGTCCACTTACGTGCTTCCTAACCGCAAGGAATCTGGGCGGCTTACCAGAAAAGCACTCGGATGACACTGCAATGAGGCATTAATCAATGTTTGAAAGAGCCGTCCCTCCTTTTATAGCTCTGGTGTGAAATAGATTTGCTTTCCAGTCCTGCAGTCAAAACAAAAAGATCCAGCAAACAGAATTTCCAGGAGATGCAATCTGATTTTCCTGCTTGCTTTTGCCCCGAAGGGTGCCAATCTTGGTAGGACGGCATTGGAGTGATTGCTACTTCTCACCAGCATGTTGCTACACTTAATCAGAGAAAGAGCTTTCCTTCACTGGCTGAAAAGATTCCTTGCCAACTTTTTGACAACTGCATTGAGATTCATATCACACTTGGAATACTACATCCAGTTTTGGTCACCACGATGTAAAAAAGATGTTGAGACTCTTGAAAGAGTACAGAGAAGAGCAACAAAGATGATTAGGGGACTGGAGGCTAAAGCATATAAGGAACGGCTGCTGGAATTGGGTATGTCTAGTTTAATGAAGAGAAGGACGAGGGGGGACATGATAGCAGTGTTCCAATATCTCAGGGGCTGCCACAAAGAAGAGGGAGTCAAGCTATTCTCCAAAGTGCCTGAAGGCAGGACAAGAAGCAACGGGTGGAAACTAACCAAGGAGAGAAGCAACCTAGAACTAAGGAGAAACTTCCTGACAGTGAGAACAATTAACCAGGGGAACAACCTGCCTCCAGAAGCGGTGAACGCTCCAATACTGGAAGTTTTTAAGAAGAAACTGGACAGCCATTTGTCCGAAATGGTATATAGGGTTTCCTGCCTGAGCAGGGGGCTGGACTCGATGACCTCCAAGGTCCCTTCCAACTTTATTATTATTATTATTATTAAAGCAATCAGTAATAGAGACAACAAATTGAAAGAGGAATTAAATCCTCTGGAAAATATATTGCTCACTTTTTTTTACTGAAGATGTGCAAAAGATTCCATGCATAAAGCCTTACACACCTGAAATAACCATCTTCAAGTCCATGAATAGAGGTTTTGGTCTTACAAGACAGCAGCCCCCAATCTTTTGGGCACCAGGGACCAGTTCTGTGGAGAGGTTGTTTTTTTTTTTTCGTGGACTGGAAGAGGCGTGGTTTCGTGTGCTGCCTGCATCCTGCGGATGGAATTTCACTTGTTTGCGCAGCCCGGTTTCTGCCATGCTGCGGAACGGGGCTAGTCTACGGACCGGAGGTTGGGGACTCCCTAGTGTAAGGGGCTAAAATGGCCTGATTCTTATTGCCATGGTATAAAAATCTTGACTCCATCAACTCTCCCATTTTCTATAGCCATGGTGGCGAACCTATGGCACGGGTGCCAGAGGCGGCACTCAGAGCCCTCTCCGTGGGCACGCGCGCCATCGGCCCCAGTCCTGGGCCTTCAGCTGGGTTTTATAAAAGCTTTTAGCTTTAGGCCTCCGCCGCCATGTGCAAAAAAAAAAAAAGTTCAGTCAGTCAATTTCAACTTCTTGTGGGGAAAAAAAAAGATCTTGCAAAGTTGGAATTGATTGATTGAACTTTTTAGTCCCACCCAGTCTGCCATTACCACCGCAGCCACGCCCACCCAATGGGCCACACCCACCCGGCACCTGACGATGCATAAGTGGGTTTTGGGTTGCAGTTTGGGCACTCGGTCTCTAAAAGGTTCGCCATCACTGTTCTATAGTCTCAGTTACTTCCCCCCCCATTCCAACGGGATTCAATTTCCTGAAACTTAACGCCATTTTTATCTGTCCCTCTGAGGTACACCTGTTCTTGCCCAGCAGCCCATCATCTTGGTAAGATTATGGTCCCACAAGCCAGTGGTCCCCCACACACCCAGTTTGGGTGCTGCCCGGGCACCACTCCAGAAGAGTATTTCCCAAGTCCAGGTTTCTGTACTCTCGCCACCCAAGAGCCAGATGCCCCCTGACCTGCTCTTCTTTTTTCCACAGGTGCGCCAGGAACTCGCCTCCCCCTCCGAGTTCTACCCGGCCACGCTGGGGCAAGGCAGCCAGAGCAATTTCCTGACGGCCACAGGACCTGCCCAACAGGTGAGGGTGAGCTTTCTCTCGTGGAGATTTCCCCCAGACTCTTCCCGGGAAGGCTGTAGATCAGTGGTTCTCAACCTGTGGGTCGGGACCCCATTTGGGGTCGATCGACCATTTCATGGGGGTCGCCAAGCAAGGCTGTCTGCCATTTTTTTTGTCCGCCATTTTTTTTCCCCTTTTCCGGCGGGTGCCTTACCTCCCTTGGGCTGGGCCAGCTGGTGGTCGGCCTGCTCCGTCTCTGCCGCTTGCCAGATATGCCTCGGCCGGCGCAGGGGGCGGAACCACGCATGCGCGACGCTCCCGGGCAGGGAAAGTCCTCGACTTACGACCGGTTGGGTAGTCCTCGACTTACGACCGGTTTAGTCTTCGACTTACGACCGGTTTAGTCCTCGATGTACGACCGGTTTAGTCCTCGACTTACGACCAGTTGGGGTCGCGGCATTAAAAAGGTTGAGAACCACTGCTGTGGATGCAGCATCTCCCTCTTCTCTTTCTGCTTCTGCCCCCAGGTGCTCTTGCCAGTGGTGGAGCCCCCCCAGTTACCATCGGTGATGAACTTTGGCTCTTTGCAACAAGCACCCCCACCTGCTCCTGCATCCCAAGGGCCACCCCCACCGCCTCCAATGCCTCTGGTTCCTGTGGCTGCCCAGGCACTCCGGCCACCGGGACAGCTGGCTGGGCGACTGGTGTCTCCGGCCATCCGAGCCTTTCCTCCCGGTGGAGTAGGACGGAACGAGGTAACGAAGGGTTGCCCAAACGGGGGCGTGTTGGGAGGAAGGGATGCCTCCCGCTCCCGGCTTCTAACAGAGGCTTTTTTTCTTCAGCTTCACGCTCTGGAAATGAAACCGCTGCCAGATTACCGGAAACTTAATGGCCTGGGGTCTGTAGGTGCCCGACCCCCTTCTGGGAACAGGCAAGTACTCTCCGGGGGGGTGAAATGATCTGTAGTTGAAGTTACCTGAATTCCCAAGACCACAAACTTTATTTGTTCTTCCAGCTGGGTGGAGTTTTGAAAATATATTGGATTCCTCTGTCATAATCCTTTACTGGCCCAAGAGCCCTCCTGATCAAGGTCTGTTAGCTCTCAAACACGGGGGATGATGATGATGATGATGGTGTAAAAGGAGAATTTGTAACAGTCACCGAAGGAAGAAGTGTCACTGCGACTTCTTGCCTCTTAAGTTTCTCCCTGTATTACATCTGGGTGTAGCCCAGCGGTTACCGGGCGGGGGAATCCCAGTTCACCTGTGCAAATCCTTGTTTTGAAATGGATTGAAAAAAGGGGGTTCCTGCGAGTGGAAGAGGAACGTTTCGTTCCGTTAGTTTAAATCCATGTTTCCCGACCTGGCAATTGTAAGAGGTTGTGTGGACTTCAACTCCCAGAATTCTTCAGCCAGTCACTTCCTCCCACCGCTTTTAGCATGAACAATGCCTGTTGGAGATTGGAGGCGTTATTGTAAAAAAAAAAAGAAAAAGACGATGTTAAAGAAAATTTTCATTGTAGCATTTCAGTTTTTCATTTACCTATTTTAAATAAAGGATCTACAACAGACATGTTAAACACAAGGCCGGATGCGGCCCGCGAAGTGGTTTCATGTGGCCCGTGAAGCCATCCTGGAAACAGTGAGGGAACGCCCCCCCCTTGCCTTGGCCCTGGCCCAGGCCGGCCACGAGGGAGCCCATGTACAATTTTGTGGTGGCCATCTATGCTGAAACGCATTCAGTCTTAGCTCCACAAGGCTGTCTAGAAACAGCGAGGAACCAGCCCCTGCAGCATCGGCCCCGCCCTCTGGGTGCATGCTGGGGAGGTGTCACCCTTTGTGAGGAATGAAGAAATGGACCATGCCTTGGCGCTTGCCCCGGTCCCCCCCCCTTCTGCCAGAGACCCTCAGATCTGTCCCACTCCTGTCCAGGCCCCCACAGGCATCCTTGACGCGAACGATGTAGAGCTGGCCATGCCCACCCAGTAGGCCACACCCACTCCATCCACGCCCACCCTGGCCACACCCACACGGCCCCCCAAGGGCAACCGCAATGCTGATGCGGCCCTCAATGAAATTTGAGTTTGACACCCCTGGTTTAGAAAGAGAAATGGTATGTAAATACTTTTTTTTTTTTTTAATTCTCCGGGGGGGTGGGGAGAAACACACACACACAGCGTTCAAACTGCTTTTCCTTAGCAGCGCATCCTGAGAGCACCACCGAGAGAGCCGGCCAAGTCAAGGCTGCCTGGGGGTCTCTTTCCGAGGCTGAGTCTTTTTCTCTCCTCCTGCAGGCCTTTCTCTGGAGGCTTCAGTGCCAGGCTCAAATCTCCCGGGTCTGGCTACGGGGGCCTCTTCCGTGCCCAGCGCTTTGAGGTCTACCAGCAGGTGAGGCTGACTCCTGGGGTGAACCCAGTGGTTCTCAACCTGTGGGTCGGGACCCCATTTGGGGTCGATCAACCATTTCACGGGGGTCGCCAAGCAAGGCTGTCCGCCATTTTTTTGTCCGCCATTTTTTTTTTGTCCGCCATTTTTTCCCCCTTTTCCGGCGGGTGCCTTACCTCCCTTGGGCTGGGCCAGCTGGTGGTCGGTCTCCTCCGTCTCTGCCGCTTGCCAGCTACGCCTCGGCCGGCGCAGGGGGCAGAACCACGCATGCGCGGCGCTCCCGGGCAGGGAAAGTCCTCGACTTACAACCGGTTGGGTAGTCCTCAACTTACGACCGGTTTAGTCCTCGACTTACGACCGGTTTAGTCCTCGACTTACGACCGGTTGGGGGTCGCGGCATTAAAAAGGTTGAGAACCACTGGGCTAAGCAAACGCAGACGATGGATACGCTGGCAGGCCAGACTGTAACCTCTTCCTTCTCTCTCTTCCTTCCACTCCCTCTTCTTGCCCTCGCAGTCAGATGTCCTTCGGTGGAACCCCCGCTGCTGGGAACGGGCAGCTCCACCCCGGGATGGAGCTCCCGTCCGCCGCCTTGAGCCGGACCCCCGTTCCCACGCCGACAAGCAAGACCCCAATCTCTCCGGACACCACTAACCCAGAATACTCCTCCCTCCCTTTTGGATTTGGTTGACATCCTCTCCTCAGAATGATTTTTTTGTGTGGGGGGGGAGGGCTCATCTCTCCTCTCGGTTGATGTATCCTAAAGACGGGGTGTCTCCTTAAGCTCCTTTTCTGTTTATGTGGGGAGGGGGCACACTGAATTTGTCCCCTCTGTTTAGGGGTGTTTAGACTCTTAGTGGGATACTCGGAGTGTAATTGGGGGGGGCAAGGATCAGGATTTGGGGAGGCTCCCAGCTGAATGTATTTTTGCTTATTTCCTTTGGTTTCACCTGAGTTTATATTTTTCCGGGAGGGGCTGCGTTTGCCTCTTGATCCGAGAGGGGGGGGAGCTGCTCTTAAAGTGTGGAGTGTAAATATATATAAATATGAACATGTGAGGTCTTGCCTCTCCCCTCTTCTATTTATGGGAGTAGGGGGAGGCGTGCCTGGGAGCCTGCCTCCTCTCCTGTCTATCTGCTCCCCTGAGTTTGAAATAGGAAGCGTTGAGTTTTTAAAAGGTGGTCGAGCTGGTTTGTTTAATAAATAAAACCAAAAAAAAAAAGTTGTTTAAAAAAAACCAATAAAATAAAAAGATCAATCTGTTGAGTTCCCCGTCGTCAATGTTTACTGATAAGAGCCGAATTTCATTTTAAAATCCATTTGAGATACCCTCTAGTCCAGGGCTTTTCAACCTTTTCACCCATTGTGCCACTTTTAGGATATGGGAACATCCGAGTACCACCAGTCGCCTAACAAGGTGTCAAAAACTTGGATGACCCCCCCAAAAAAGGAAAAAAGTGATAAAGTACAGGTAGTCCTCGACTTACAACAGTTCGCTTAGTGACTGTTCGAAGTTACAATGGCACTGAAAAAAATGCCCCCCAAGCCACAGCCGAGCAAGACATCGGCCTGCCCACCCGGTGGCGCTCTTCCTCCTGTCCGAGGTTTTCATTGTTGTGAGCATTTCTGTTGAGGATTGGCAGCAGGGGTGGGGTGGGGGGTGTTTGGTTTTTATTCCCCCCGTCTACTGGGTGGTTGCAGCAGGTTTTGGTCGCTTCACATGACTCTGGGACACTGTGACCGTCATAAATATGAATCAGTTGCCAAGCATCTGAATGTAAATCACAAGACCCTGGAGAGGCTGCAACATTCCAGCTGATTGGTGCTTCTTCTGGGCTCAGCAGAAGCGCCAGGATCAGTGCTGCTTTCCAGCTGGACCCTGGCTCTGATCCTGGCGCTTCCACTGAGCCCTGACAGCCCTGCAGCTCCAGCCATCTCTCGCTCAGGCTTGTGTGGTGCTACCACCGGTTCAGCTCATTCCCCTCCCCCGCTACCACTTTTCTAGGATGGTCGCGTACCACCTGCCAGGTGTCAATGTACCACAGGTGGTACCCGTATCACTGGTTGAAAAGCCTTGCTCTAGTTAAAAGTTCTGCGATGTTTACTCGCTGTATTGCCTGAAACCAACCTGACATGCAGTATATGGAGTAGTAGTCTTAGCAGGTTTGGAGCAGTGATTAACAACAGCAATAGCACTTAAGACTTATATACCGCTTCATAGTGCTTTGCAGCCCTCTCTAAGCAATTTACAGAGCCAGCATATTGTGCCCCCCCCCCTCTGACCGGGAACAATCTAGGTCTGAGTCAATATTGAGCCCATCAGGATCGAACTGCTGGCAGTCAGCAGAATTAGCCTGCAATACTGTATTCTAACCACTACACTATATTAGCCACTTGTTCAATAAAATTATGACGATGCATTAGAACAAGTAGGAAGGAAACCTCACAGGGTTAAGATCTATCCAAGAAGCTCAAGAACCTGAGGGTAGAGTGTCAAATGGCATTTTCCTCCCTTCTGGTCCACAGAAGCTCTTGGGGGGGGGGGGGAGAGAAGACTACAGATGAATGATTAGTGATAGAAAAGTTTTTCTTCGACTGTTCTGAGCTAGCTAAATCATAGGCTGCTGGCATGAGGTTTGTGCACCCTAGAACAGTGATGGCGAACCTTTTAGAGATCGAGTGCCCAAACTGCAACCCAAAACCCACTTATTTATTGCCGGCTGACAGGTGGGGTGGCCCATTGGGTGGGCGTGGCTGTGGTGGTCATGGCAGATTGGGTGGGGGTGGCCAAGGTGGACGTGGTCACCTCAATGTTGCTCATGCGGAGGGATGCCTGTGGGGGGTGGACAGGGTTGGGGGAGATCCAGGGGGTCTCTGGCAGGTGGGGCAGGAGGCTCATCCTGCGGGGTGAGGCAGGGCAGAGGTGCCATTGCCATGGGGCAAGGCAAGGGCCAGGGCGGCTGCTGCCTGACACCATTGGCCCCCGCACACAGAGGCCAGTGAGCGCATGGGGACCAACAGCCTGCCAGCCCCTCGACTGGCACACACTGGGGCCTCCCCAGCCCGCCACCAGCAGTTCAGAGAAGCCGCCTCTGAGCTGGATGGCCGGCCGACAGCTGAGGAGGCGATGCAGTGGGTCATGCCCGGGAAAAGGAGAGCATGCGAGGCCAGGAGGGAAGAAAACCAGCCGTGCCAGGATGCATCCGGCCACATGGAACCTCAGCAAGTTAGCAGGCAGCTGGTTGAAGAGGGACAGTTGCCATCTCTGGGGCATGGCATGTGTGCCCACAGAGAAGTGCCGCCTCTGGCACGCGTGCCATAGGTTCACCACCACTGCCCTAGAAGGAAATGGCAATATTGAAATCAGACCTCTTTAATTGTGCCACCAACCACACAGATTTTCTTCAGAATTAGCTGTCCCCAGGTTTTCTACTTGGTTTCTTCAAATTCCAGGTGGTTTTTTTTTCTCTTTCATTCTGTCAGATGGAAAACTATTGCCTGCACAATTATGAATGATACTGGTAGGTGCCGACACATCAAAAGCCCTCGGAATATATTTTTCCGTGACGTATTTCCATATTTCTTGTTGACAGTTGATTCTAAAAGGCAGAAGCTGTCAACTCCAAGTTCGGTTGCTGTACCCAACATCATTAATTTGGCCTCCTTTATATTTAATCGCTCCAATTTAACAATAATAAATGCATACGACACCCGAGTCCCAGAAATTCTGCAATTCGCACGTTAAAAATATTTTTAAAATAGCAATACAAGAAGCACAAACAAACATGGCAGAGAAAGGAACAGGAAAGAAAGAAATCCTTGCCAAAAGGCTGGGCAAAAAGCCACATCTTCAGGGTCCTTCAAAATTCCAGTAGAGTGGAAGCTGTTTTGAGTGGGGGTGTGGATGAGAGAATGCTTCATTCCAGAGAGCAGATGCTGCTACGTGGGTGTACTTTGTGGTCCCCGAAGATGAAATTGTTCAATCAATGGAACCCAGGGCATACCAACCCTGCCAGGTAAAACTGGCTGGGCTGAAACAATGGGAGACAGGTGGTCCCTCTATAACAGGGGTGTCAAACTCGCAACATCACATGATGTCGCGCAACATATTTTAAATAAAGGGTGGGCGTGGCAATGGGGTGGGCGTGGCTTCCGGGTGACGCGTCCGGTCCGCGGGTTAGCAGTTTGACACCCTTGTTCTATAATCAGGTCTCATGAGGGCTTTGTAGGTAGTGACCAGCACTTTGAATCACACCTAAAAGCAAACTGGCAATCACTACAGCTTGTGATGAGAGATGTTACAAGGGCATACTGAGGCACGCCCCTAATGTAGAATGCCCCCACTGCATTCTACACTAGCTGAAACTTCTGAATGGTCTTCAAGAGCAAGCCCATGTAGAGTTCATTGAAGTAGTCAAGCCATGAGGTGATGGGCAGGCCAAGCTCTAGAAAAAGTGCAGAGAAGAGCAACAAAGAGAATTGGGGGCCTGGGGGCTAAAACATATGAAGAATGGTTGCAGGAACTGGGCATGGCTAGTCAAGAGAAGGCCCAGGGGAGACATGATAGCAGACTTCCAATATTTGAGGGGCTGTCACAGAGAAGAGGGGGAGTCAATCTATTTTCCAAAGCACCTGAAGGCCAGACAAGGAATAACAGATGGAAACTGATCAAGGATTCAACCTGGAAATGAGAAATTTTCTGACAGTGAGAACAATCAACCATTGGAACAGACTGCCTTCAGATTTTGTTAGTGCTCCATCACTGGAGGCTTTCAAGAAGAGACTGGACTGCCATCTGTCAAATGGTGTAAGGACTCCTGCATGGGCAGGGAGTTGGACTAGATGACCTACAAGGTCCCTTCCAAATCCTAGCTATTTGAGGTTGAGCTGGAGAAAATGCTCCATACAACTGTCTAATCAAGGAACTACTAAGAACACTCCCATCAACACTGACAGGGCAAGCCATTTCTATATAAGCAGCAAACCTCCTAGCAGCGATGTTACCTAGATGGGCAATGAAACTTCTGCAAGAAAACCACAGAGCTCAGAAACCACCAAGGACCTCAAAGTTCCTAAGTTTCAGCAGTTTTGCAGACCAACTACAGATAATCCGAGTGAGGAGCGTTCCCTAAGCAAACGTTCGAAGTTACGTGATAAGCACCCCCTAGTCTTTACGAAAGTCCCAAAATTACAAATGTTGCCACACCAAAGCAGTCGAACACCCACCGCAGTGGCGCTGCAACATTCCTGGCTATTCCCTCTCCCCCCCCCCGGTCTCCCTAGGCACTAGGCCAGGGGTAGGCAACCTTGGCTCTTTGATGACCCGTGGACTTCAACTCCCAGAATTCCTGAGCCAGCTTGGCTGGCTCAGGAATTCTGGGAGTTGAAGTCCACGGGTCATCAAAGAGCCAAGGTTGCCTACCCCTGCACTAGGCCTATGGATACTCCCTTTGCAAAGATCGAGAGATCCTTCGCTTCTTGTTTCGCTACTTCCTTCAGTGCATTCAGAGAATAGAGGCCCAAAGTAATGCAAGATCACGCGAGATCAGTGGCACAAGATCTCACGCTACTGATCTTGCATGATCTCACGATAGTTTAGGCCTCTGTTCCATGCAACAGAGAACGGAACGAAAGCCGGGGGGAGAATGGACCTCCGGAAGCACATGGCTGCTGCCCACAGCCTCTGATCTGGGCCTCAGAGGCCTGGAGAACTCCGAGGCCCAGAACGGGCCTTTGGAGCCCCGCTGAAGCGTCCCCCGGCATCATTCCTGGGCCGCAGCAGCCCGGAAAAGGCCTCTGACGCACGGATTGGGCCTTTGGAGCACCGCCAAAGCATCACCTGGCATTTCCAGGCGGCAGCAGCCCAGAAAAGGCCTCCAACACCCAGAAATGACACTAGGGGACACTTCAGCGAGTCTCCGAACGGTTGATCTGGACATCAGAGGCCTTTTCCAGGCTGCTGCCGCCAGGAAATTATGCCGGGGGATGCTTCAGCAGGGCTCCGAAGGTCTGCTCTGGGCATCGGAGGCCTCCGAGGCCCAGAACAGAGGCCGTGGCCAGTGACCTCATGCTTCCAGAGGTCCACTCTGGCCCTCGGAGGCCTCCCTCTGCTCTTGCCGGGAGCAGGGAAAGAGAGGCTGGAGACAGATCTTCACAAGGTCAGTGGCTCGGCACGGTAGGATGTGGGGGAGCAATTGTGGACCCCCAGGGGAGGAAGCATGAGGTATTTCAGTGAGTATGGGGAGACCTTGGATGGTCTGAAGATGGCCTGTTCCATAACTAGCCCCCCATGGCCTTCCCCACCGATATACCTCATGTTCACTTAACAAGCCACGCATTCGTTCACGCATTCAATTAGCGAATGCACGAGCAAAAGTTGGGAGTGAATCACGTTCAAGGTACGAGATTCGCTCCTACGAATCTCCGAGTTACGAATGGAACGGGCAGGCTTTACATTCGTAACTCGAGGACTATCTGTACAGTGAAAACGTAGTCCCAAATCCACCTGTCAAGTTTCTTGCTAAATTCAGTGTCTGAAAACTGAGATTCCCCCCGCTCTCCACTTGAGTCTGTGAAAGCTGCTTCTTGAGCTCAGTGCTACCTGGACATACAATCCCCAAACACCTTGCATTGTTAGATGTCTATGGATAATTCCCAGTCATCCAGGTCATGGTTGTCTCAGAGATGCTTTTTCAAAAAGAACTGATGAAGCTTCTTGGGTGAGAAGCGAAATCTCTTCTTCCTCAAGGAAAAAAATATAGTCCAGTTGCCTTTTGGAGAAAACACCTTTGAGACACCTTGCTGAACAGTGTACAATGACTAAACCAGTGTTTCTCAACCTTGACAATTTTAAGGCATGTGGACTTCAACTGCCAGAATTCCACAGCCAGCATCGCTGGCTGTGGAATTCTGGGAGTTGAAGTCCACATGCCTTAAAATTGTCAAGGTTGAGAAACACTGGACTAAACTGAAGCTGAAGCCCGTGTGGTTGTTTTACGCCTCCCTTCTGGCTGTGTGAACCAGAAACAACATCTGCTTGGCAAAAATAACTCAAGACAAATTAAAGGCGCTACAAAGCATGAAATCCACAATAGATTTTTTTTTTGAGGGGGGGGGGAGGAAAAAAACAACACAACTGGATCCTGGACATGTGGTTTTATTTATTGATTTTGGCAGCAGCTTGGGGATTCCACAGGGGGAAGAATAGTCACTGCAACCGTGGGGGAAAATAAATGGAATTTAAATATTTGGCCTGAGAAAGGAGTGGGTGTCTGCATCAATCACATATGGAGTGAGGCCAGCCTTGAGGAACAGGCCTTGGCCTCCGGGCGCTTCCGGCCGGCCCCTCTTAGGAGTCCTCAGCCACAAAGGCCTGCTGGGCACTGGGAAAGCGCTGAGGACTGAAGCTGGGATCAGCCTGAAGTCTTTCCTGCAGATCGGATTTCAACTGGAAAAAGATGGGGGGAGGGGGAGGAGAAAGCAGAGCATCCATTAGCAAAAGCAATAGTTCTCAGAATTGTATACTGCTTCATAGTGCTTCTATACCAGGGCTTTTCAACCTTTTCACCCATTGTGCCACTTTTAGGATACGGCAATATCCGAGTACCACCAGTCGCTTAGCAAGGTGTCAAAAACTTAATGACCAAAAAAAAAGGAAAAAAGTGATAAAGTACAGGTAGTCCTTGACTTAAAACAGTTCACTTAGTGACTGTTCGAAGTCACAATGGCACTGAAAAAAGTGCCCCCCAAGCCACAGCTGAGCAAGACACCTGCCTGTCCGCCCGGCGGCGCTCTTCCTCCTGTCCAAGGTTTCCATTGTTGTGAGCATTTCTGTTGAGGATTGGCAGCGGGGGTGGGGTGGGGGGGTGTTTGGTTTTTATTCCCCCCCCCATCTGCTGGGTGGTTGCAGCAGGTTTTGGTCACTTCACATGATCCTGGGACACTGTGACCGTCATAAATATGAATCAGTTGCCAAGCATCTGAATGTAAATCACAAGACCCTGGAGATGCTGCAACATTCCAGCTGATCGGCACTTCTTCTGGGCTCAGCAGAAGCACCAGGATCAGTGCCGAGCTCCAGCTGGAGCCTGGCGCTGATCCTGGCACTTCCGCTGAACCCTGACAGCCCCGAAGAAGTGCCGATCAGCTGGAAAGCGGCACTGATCCTGGCGCTTCCGCTGAGCCCTGACAGCCCTGCAGCTCCAGCCATCTCTCGCTCAGGCTTGTGCGGTGCTGCCACCGGTTCAGCTCATTCCCCTCCCCCGCTACCACTTCTCTAGGATGGTCGCGTACCACCTGCCAGGTGCCAATGTACCACAGGTGGTACCCGTACCACTGGTTGAAAAGCCCTGGTTTACAGAGTCAGCATATTGTCCTCCCGCCACCCACTCCCCTCACCCCATCCCGCCACAATCATTTTGCCCACTTTGAAAAAGCTGAGTCAACCTTGAGCCGGTCAAGATTGAACTCCTGGCTGTGAGCAGAGTCAGCAGCATGCAATACTGCCTTCCAACCACTGCACCACCAGGGCTCTTTACGGCAACTGCCCCTTTCTGTAAGGAAGCAGCTCTGGGACCTGCCATTGCGCCCTCCGTCTGTCCCACAGCCAAGGAACACATCCCACCTGCTGCTGGTAGCCATCTTGCAACGCCGGATCAGCAAGGTCTCGGTTCAGGCTCTCGGTGCTCGTCAAAGGTTTCGCTCCGACCGCTCTCGCAGCTTTGTTGACGGCCTCTGACAGGAGCAACGGGGGGCCATCACCCTGCATTGTCTGCAAAGGTTTTGTTTTTTAAAAAGAAATATCTAAGCATCAGCCAAATTTTATACCATGTTTCCCCGAAAGTTAGGCCTACACCAACAATAAGCCCTAGCTTGATTTTGGGAGGTGGGCCTAATAGAAGCCCTATCCCAAAAATAAGCCCTAGTTTTGGGACAAGGCACACACCTAAAAATCAAGCTAGGGCAGGGGTGGGGGTATGGAGCTGCCCCACCTGCCCCTCACCCACTTACCTTGCAGCCAGGCCTCTCCTTGCTGGCCCACTTCTTCTTCTGAGGCCTCTTCTGCAGCCAGGCCTGCATTTCCCAGTCCCAGGGCTTTCCGGAAGGCCACTGCAGACTGCAAGACCTCAGCAGCCGAGCAGCAAGCTATGGATTGAATCCATAGCTTGGTAGTTGGCTGCTGAGGCCTGGAAAGGCCTGGCTGCAAAATGCAGGCCCAAATGCAGCTACAGAACTTCGGCCCCAGAAAAAGTGGACCGGCTCGGTGGGGGTGTCAGTGCCAAAGGTAAGGCCTACCCTGAAAATAAGGCCTACCCCGAAGGTAAGGCCTACCCCGAAAATAAGGCCTGGTGCCTCTTTTGGAGGCAAAAAAAAATTAAGACCCGGTCTTATTTTTGGGGAAACCATGTGTGTATGTTGGTGTGTATATATATGTTGGTGTGTATATATATATATGTTGGTGTGTATATATATATATATGTGCGTGTGTGTGTGTATGTGTATATTTTTTCAAAATTTGGATTGCTAACAAAGAATTAAGGGAGAACTGGAATAGCCATTTCAAACTTTTTAGTTCTTTTCAACCAGACCTACCCTTCTGAGATTCGAACCTGGGCTGTCTGCATGTTAGGCAGATGTATTAACCTCTAGGCCACAGGCTCTTTCTCACTTTGTTCTCCCTTAATTCTTTGTTAGCAATCCAAATTTTGAAAAACACATATGATGTCACAGTTGCAACTGCCAAGCCTGTGGATGGCTCTAGTTTGAGCTGATACAGGCAAAAGATTCCTTTCTCCCATATTTGGGCCGACAGGGTGCACCAAACTCAAGATAATATGTGTATATATATATTTGGTAGATCGGGTGCCTCACCCAACAGATAAGATATATATCCTCTCTGGTTTCTGCTGACAGGAGTAAGTGGGAACCTGTGGCTCAAAAGGGTAATACAGCTGCCTAACATGCAAAGCTGCCCAGGTTCGAACCCCTGAAGGGTGTGACTAGCTGATGAGGGCAAATGAGCCTGAAATGGCTATACTAGTCTCCCACTAACTCTTTGTCAGCCACAAAATTTTGAATTTATAGTGTTCACAGTATGTGAGGTCTGCCTGCAAAACATGCTCCTAGATTGGAGCGAAACGCAGAACAGACTGATTTATATTTGGTAGACCGGGTGCCTCACCCAACAGATAAAATGATAAAATTAAGATAAGATAAGATAAGATAAGATAAGATGATAAGATAAGATACACACGAGCTAGCAGAAGACGGGGAGAAAAAAGAATGACAAGAGTTCAAAGGGGATCTTGGAGGTCTTCTAGTCCAATCCCTGTTCAAGCAGAAAACCTCATACCATTCCAAACAAATGGCTGCCCAATATCTTCTTTAAAAAACCTCCTCTTTTTTTTTTAAACACTCCAGGCAAATGAGTGTTCTTGCCCACCTTGCAAGAGGGCCCGGTCTCACCTTGCGCCGCTTAGCTGGCATGCCACTCAGATATGCGTCACTGAGGGGAGGCTGTTGCTTGAGCTTGCGCTGGCTCTGGATGTCCTCCCGGATGATGGGCACCCACTCCTGGCAGAGAAGGGGAGAGCAGAGATTCCGGGAACTGGTTAGCAGCCCCCCGCAATGTACCCATAATAATATTTGTAGCTCAGGGTTGAACTGAGGGGGTTCTTGGTGCTCTCTGAGCCTGCTTGTTTTCTGACATGTTTCGTTATCCAAACTAGGTAACATCATCAGTGCTAGCATCTCAGTGATGATGTTAGCAATAGCACTTAGACTTATATACCGCTTCATGGTGTTTTCTAGCTTTCTCTAAGCTAGGGGTCCCGAACCCTCAGGCCGTGGGCCTGTTTGAAACTGCACCGCGGGAGAAATGGGCAAGCACGCGTGTGCGAAGCTCCACTCACGTGAGCAGCAGGCACTTTCGTGCAAAGCTCCACATGTGCAAGCAGCGGGCGCTTGTGCTCACAACGCTCCATTCATGTGAGTGGAGCGTATGCCCGCGTCGCTCACACAACTAGAGCTGCGCATGACACCCCCCACACACACACATACACCAGGCCGGGCCACCAAGCTGGAAAAGTCGGAGACCGCTGCTCTAAGCGGTTAACAGAGTCAGCATATTGCCCCCAACAATCTGGGTCCTTGTTTTCCGACCTCAGATGGAAGACTGAGTCCACCTTGAGGCAGTGAGACTCGAACTGCCGAACGGCTGGCAGTCAGCAGAATTAGCCTGCAATACTGTATCCTAACCACTGCGCCACCACGGTTCTGTTATCTATAGTTTAGGTCAGTGGTTCTCAACCTTTTAAATGCCGTGACCCCCAACTGGTCGTAAGTCGAGGACTAAACCGGTCGTAAGTTGAGGACTACCCAACTGGTCGTAAGTCGAGGACTTTCCCTGCCCGGGAGCGCTGCGCATGCATGGTTCCGCCACCTGCGCCGGCCGAGGCGTAGCTGGCAAGCGGCAGAGACGGAGCAGGCCAACCACCAGCTGGCCCAGCTCAAGGGAGGTAAGGCACCCGCTGGAAAAGGGGAAAAAAATGGCAGACAGCCTTGCTTGGCGACCCCCGTGAAATGGTCGATCGACCCCAAATGGGGTCGCGACCCATAGGTTGAGAACCGCTGGTTTAGGTAATGAAATGTCTGCAAGAAAACAAGCAAGCTCTGAGAGCACCAAGGACCCCCTCGCCCCCACAATGTGCTCTGCACTAGGCGGGGGTCCTCCTTCCCTCCCTTGTCCCTTTTTTTCCCTCCAAGGGAACTCACAGGGGGCACAGCGGCGGCCCAGGGCTCCACGTCGGAGGCAGGGGGCTCCCCCTGCTGCAATTCCTCACGTTCCGGCTCCCCTCGCTGCTGGGGCATGGCTTCCTCTGCCGTCGTGGCTGGGGCTGGGGAGGCCGCCGTCTCTCGCTGCAAAAGAGAGGGAAGAGCAGGGATGCACCGAGGAGCCTCACCAAGCCAGACTGAGCTGCCGCAACATGGTCTACAGGGGGGGCTTCCCTTGAACTCTACTCAGGAGCTGCAGCTGTCCAGAATGTGCTGGCATGGGGCAGTCAAGATACTTTGGTTTCATAAGCTGTATTGCCCGACAGTGGGTTTCCGGGCGCAATTCAAGGTGCTACTGATCAACCATAAAGCCCTATCCCTCCATAGTGGTAGTCCACAGCCACGGGGATCGTGATTGCCATTGTGTTACACAATTAGGGTGTAAATGCAAAGTCACGTGACCACAAGATCTATGGCAGTGGTGGCAAAACCTATGGCACGGGTGCCAGAGGCGGCACTCAGAGCCCTCTCTGTGGGCACGGGCGCCATCGCCCCAGTCCTAGGCCTTCAGCTGGGTTTTATAAAACCTTTTCGCTTTAGGCCTCCGCCGCCATGTGCAAAAAAAAAAAAGGTTCAACCAATCAGTCAATTTCAACTTCTCGCGGGAAAAAATAAGATCTTGCAAAGTTGGAATTGATTGATTGAACTTTTTAGTCCCACCCGGTCTGCCGTTACCACTGCAGCCACGCCCACCCAATGGGCCACGCCCACCGGCGCTCCATGATGCATAAGTGGGTTTTGGGTTGCAGTTTGGGCACTCGGTCTCTAGAAGGTTCGCCATCACTGATCTATGGGTTGTTAAACAGGAGGCCAGGCACCAAGCAAAGGGAAAGAAGCCGGAGGGACTTGCAATTTTCCTTGCTGGTTTCTTCACTGACTTTCCAGGAGGTGAGATGACCAGGAACTCTAAGGATTGGTTGTTCAGTGCCACTGAACAAGTGGTCAGTAAACAAGGACTCCATGTAGTTTCTACCTATCTCAGTCTGACACATGCTCTTTTTAAATCAGTGGTTCTCAACCTTTTTAATGCCGCGACCCCAACCGGTCGTAAGTCGAGGACTAAACCGGTCGTAAGTCGAGGACTAAACCGGTCGTAAGTCGAGGACTAAACCGGTCGTAAGTCGAGGACTACCCAACCGGTCGTAAGTCGAGGACTTTCCCTGCCCGGGAGCGCCGCGCATGCGTGGTTCCGCCCCCTGCGCCAGCCGAGGCGTAGCTGGCAAGCGGCAGAGAC